CGCGCGCGCGCGCGTGTGTGTGTGTGTGTGTGTGTGTGTGTGTGTGTGTGTGTGTGTGTGTGTGTGTGTGTGTGTGTGTGTGTGTGTGGTCGGTTCGTTTCTTCGACGCTGTTCGTTTGCCTGTCCGCCTAGCGTGTTTTCTGCTGTCCGACTTGTGAGCGTTCAAGTGGTCACTGCCATTCATCGCATCCCTGCATGCTCATCGCGCCTGCTTGCTTGCGCTCGTTTTGGTTCAGCCCATTGGCCACCAGCAGCTTCAGCAGCAGCAAGATGGCCATCACAACAACCGATACAGTCACCACCAGCACCAGCGCCAGCACCAGCATGAGCAATCGTTCGACCAACAACAACAACAGCAGCAGCACCAAGAACAGCAGCAACAGCAGCATCATCATTTCTTTGGCGAGGACGACAGGGCGGCGTCTGAGCTCGAAGACAGCGGGCAGGAGCGACAGGTCAATGCCGATGATGCTGATGATGATGGCGATGATGGCGATGATGGCGATGATGACCAGCTGCACCATGAGCATGAACAGCGGGAGGAGGAACAGGAAGAAGAAGAGGAAGAAGAGGCAGAAGAAGGCCGTGAACAGCGGGAGGAGGAATATGCTGCACAAGACGAAGGGGAGGATGAGCAGCAGGTGAATGGATGGCAGCACCCGGACCGCCGTGCCGACGATGGGCGACGCGACGCCGACCAAGAGGAAGACCACGACACCCAACAGCACGGTACAGCCACACTGAATGTGTGTGTGTGTTTGCGTGTTTGTGTGTGTGTGTGTGTGTGTGTGTGTGTGTGTGTGTGTGTGTGTGTGTGTGTGTGTGTGTGTGCTTGTTTGTGAGTGTGTGTGTGTGTTGTCGTTGCCTCAGAGGAGCTAGTTGTCACGTACATGCCATGCGCATCCGCCATGCTTTGTTTTGACGTGTGTTTGCGTGTTGTGCGCAGGGGAGGCGATGGCGTCTGAGCCGACGGTTGTGATTGGGAGCGCGGCGCACACGATGACGCGGGAGGCGGCGATGGGCGCCATCAGCAGCACCCCGCCTCTACAGGAGGAGGAGCAGGAAGAGGAGGAAGAGGAGGAAGAGGAACAAGCAAGTGAGGGTGAACAGGGTGAAGAAGAGCAAGAAGAAGGTGGGGAGGATGAAGAGGACGACGAAGGGGAACACTATGACCAGAAAGAGGGGCAAGGGGAACAGCAGCAAGACTATGATGAAGATCAGGAGCAGCAGGAAGGCGAGGAACAAGAGGACGAGGAACAAGAGCAGCGAGAAGAAGATGCAGAGGAGGAGGAGGAGGAGGAGCAAGAACAGGATGATGATGATGATGACCATGATGGCGATGATGACCAAGAGGCTGACGGTGATCATGGCGTCCAAGATGATGGGCAAGAAGACGACGACGCAGCCGAGGCAGAGGGTGATGATGGTGATGATGGCGATGATGATGAGGCGCAGAGCTAGACGTGATGCATGTCTTTGTTGTTCTTCGGCATTGCTTTTCGCATCTGCATCCATGCGCATGAGAGTGTGAGCTTGTTTGCTCACTTCTTTCGTATTGAGCCAGTCTAGTGGGCTCTTCTCTATTTCCATTGGCTTCTCGCTTGCTTGCATCATCACATCCCATCACATCCCATCACACATCACATCACGCCGTCGGCACCGTCAACTTCGTCGCCACACCACGTCTTCATGTGCTATCTTGCTTTCTTGTGAGTGGTTGTGTATTATGGGTCACATCATGTCACATGTCTTGCCCATGCTGTCAGAAAGGGATAAAAGCCCAATGTCACATCAGTCAACCAAGTCTAGCTAGCCGTAGCAACATGTAACATTACATTGCAGTGTAAGGCAAAGCCAGAGCGCAGCACATTCCTGTTGGACAAGAAGTTGGGACGACCCGGGGAGCGGGAGACAAATCAAATGAGTGAGCGAGATGTGGCATAAGCATGAGAACAGGAGCAGTGCAAGGGAGGGAGGAGGAGGAGGAGGGAGGGGAAGAGGAAAAAAAAAGTGTGGCGGCGAGCCAGAGACACACACGTGCGAGTTGGAAGGATACATGCTCGCACGACTGGTATCTCCAGGGGTGCGTGGGCTTTCCAGCTCGTGTGGGAGAGGAAGCGACAGAGAACGCATGGAGCGATGGTGCATATGGTGGAGCAAGACAGAGTGCGGGAGGGGAGAAAGACACGCAAGGCGCGATGTTCCGTGAGCGGGACCGTGGCAGGCGTCGGGACAAGTGGAAGCTGGTGAGAGGAAGGGGGGGGGAGGGCAAGGGTGATGGGCGAGCGCGTCTCAAACAGAACACCAGAAAGGCGTTTGGAGCCTCCGCACCGCCCACGCACCCATACACCCACACACACACTTGCGCCTTCCCTCAGCCATGACAACCACAACCACTTGAAGAACATGTTCGAGGGAGCATGGAAGGGAGGAATCCCCAACGCCATGTGTGCACACGGCCACAGCGACACGACGGAACACCAGCCTTGCGCGACCCCTCACACGTCACCGCCTACTCTCCGCTCTGCACACCATCGTCCATAGCCAGTGGTGTGGTACCGGCAAAGAACAGTGGCTGTTCTTGCTGACATTACCACCACCACCAGCGGTCCTCTGCTCCCGGTCTCACGCACACGAGCGAGGCCCGACGTTGATGGAAGTCGTGCACCACGTGCCGCACGCCAACGATGGCTTGGTGTTGGAGTTGTGTAATCCGACAAGCGGTAGCTTTGGCTTGCCGATTCTGTTGCAAACCTCCGTGCGAAGCAAAGGAAGAAGGCCAGACGGAAGAAGACCAAATGGGAGAGGAGCAGACGGAAGAAGACCACATGGAAGAGGAGCAGAGGAGGAAACGGCCGTGGTGGACCAGGCATCAAGGAGTCGAGCGGAGTGGAAGTTGGTGATGGTGTTGATGATGGTGTTGGTGATGGTGTTGGTGATGGCGATGGTGACAAGAAGCACTGACCTGTCTTTGCGCGGGTAGACGTCGGTGCCACTGCTTGGGCCATCGCGGCAGCTGGGTCCTCATGCATCGCAGCAAGAAGCACTGGCATGCACACGCATGCAGCACGGTGCACACCTGTGCAGTCAGAGGTGTCAGTCAACTCACGTGTTGACCATCTCTGCTTTGCTTCAGTTTTGTGCTGACAAAGCAATCTGGAAGGAAGAATGAGGACAACAGTGAAAGCTGCTGTGCTCGTGGCACGTGCTGTGACTGTGGCATCCGTGCTTGTGCTCGGAGGTGCTGTGCCTTGCTTCGCAGCAGCAGCAGGAGGAGGAGGAGGAGAAGGAGGAACAGTAGGAACAGACTATGAGTGTGAGCGGGCTAGTGGTGATGTTGCGAGGGATGAGATGGTGATTGGCTTTGGCTCGTGCAACAAGCCCGACTTTCCACAAACGGCGTGGCAGTGGATGGACGACACCGATCTCTTCCTCTTCAACGGTGCGATATCTGTCTGTAGTGTGTGATGTGAGTGATGTGTGTGTGTGTGAGTGTGAGTGATGTGTGTGTGTGTGTGTGTGTGTGAGTGATGTGTGTGTGTGTGTGTGTGTGTGTGTGTGTGTGTGTGTGTGTGTGTGTGTGTGTGCGTACGTGTGTGTGTGTGTGTACCCTTCTGTCTTTCTGCCTCTCTCTGCCTCTCTATGCCCCTCTCGGCCTGTCTCTGCCTCTCTCAGCCTGTTGTCCAGATCCGTCAATTCGCTCTCCCAGTCTCCCTGCCCTCCCCCCACCTCTTGAGCTCACCCCTTAGCCTTCCACGCACCGCCTGTACGTATGTGTGTATGGGTGCAGGCGACGTCGTGTACAGCGCCACGATAGGGGTGGATGGGTTGGAGAAGGCCTTCGATTCATTGGACGCAGGTCCAGCATATCAGCGCGTCAAGCAAGCAAAGGCCTCCAAGTGGCACTGCAGGTCAGGGCAACAAAACACATACATGTGTGTGAGTGGGTACACAATGTGCATACATACGCACACATACGCACGTATACACACGCACATTTACATACAGATGCACATTGTCGCACGCACATGGTAGTATTCAAGGCTTTATTTGCGCTTCTGACACAGTTCTTGTGATGATGGCTTGCAGGGCTGTTGCCGATAATTGCGAGGTGCATCAAGGCATATGGTCAACGTGGGACGACCACGACTTTGGTGAGCGGGCATCAGCCGTTTCTGAGTTGTTCTTCGATGCCGTTTATTCATGATACACTCGAGCTGTTGCTGATGACAGCTCATGCCTTGCGCTCACATACGCACACACACACACACACGCACACATACACATGCAAACACACACGCATACACACACACGCACCACAACTACCACCACGGTGATTGTGGTCGTTTGTGCAATGCAATGGCACACCAAGGCATCAACGATGGCGGCGGAGGCGAGCCGCTACCAATCATAAAAGACTTGCAGGTTGAAGAGCGGCTGCGTGTGTTCAAGGAGCACATGCATCCACGATGCACGGACACCTCGCGCGTGACGCTTTCCAGCCGTAATGGCACCTACCACTCCACCAAGTGGGAGCCTTTGTTGTGCGTGTGCTTGTGTGTGTGTGTGTGTGTGTGTGTGTGTGTGTGTGTGTGTGTGTGTGTGTGTGTGTGTGTGTGTGTGTGTGTGTGTGTGTGTGTGTGTGTGTGTGTGTGTGCGTTGGCTCGCTGGCTCTCTGCTCGTTTGTGTGCGTGTGCATGATCACTGTGGCAATGTAGGTGCTGTAGTGGCTTTGCTGTGTTGATGAGACAAACAAATGCTTCGTTGTTCACGCCGAACCCCTCCCACCCGCCATCAAACAATGCAGACTTCACGTTGGGGATAAGCGAGACGTTGTCATTTCGCTGTTGGACACACGCACACACCGCCAGCTGCACGCGATTCCCTCGCTTGGCACATTCAGCTTCATCCCGCTCATCGGCAAACTCTTCCCCATCACCGCCGGCGCCACACGCATGCTGGCCGCAAACCTCGGTGTGTGTGTGTGTGTGTGTGTGTGTGTGTGTGTGTGTGTGTGTGTGTGTGTGTGTGCCTGTGTGTGCAACTGCTTCTCTGTCTCTGCCTCTGCCTCTTTCTCTGCGGCTGTCTTTGTCACCAACTCCGTCTGACACGTCCCATATACTTGCTGCCATGAACGCTCACTCCTACGGACGCACTTCAACGCGTACGCATGTTCTTTCTGCTGCACAAGGGTGGGGCAACACCAACAGAGGCGCAATGCTGGGCGAAGAGCAGTGGCGATGGCTGGAAAACACGCTGTGCAGCAACAACGACGATGACACCACGCACATCATCGTCTCCTCCATTCAGGTGCTGACGAGCAACCCGCTTGTTGAGAGCTGGGGCCACTTCCCGACAGAGCTGCAGCGTTTGCTGTCACTGCTGGACACGTGCAACCTCAAGCACGCCATCATCGTCTCAGGGGACGTCCACTTTACAGAGTTCACCTCGGTCAGTGTGGCGGGCATGTGGTACGAGTGCCAACGTGCGTGTATCCTGTCTGCATCTGTGTAATTGCCAGTCCTTGCCGTGCTGTCCTATGCCTGCTTCTGTTTGAGCTTCAACCCACGAGTGCCTTCACGCTGGATTGTGTCATGATTGACAGCTCCCAAGCGGACAGCTGGTGGAAGTAACCTCGTCGGGTGCGTGACTGCTGCCGTTGAAGTTGAATTGGTATTCTTGTTGCTTGATACTGCTCTTGCGTGCACACCCGCACACACATCACTACACTGCAAGCTCGCAACCAAACGTACACGCACACGCATGCAAGTACTTACGCACGCACACACACACACATACAACACGCACACGCACACACACACGCACACACGCACACGCACACACGCATACACGCACACGCACACACACACACATACGCACACGCACAGGGATGACGCATGACTGTACGGGCGGTGTTCTGCCGCGAGCGCTGTGTTCGCTCGCCATATCCACGTTTGGACACCACCGCAGCAAGCAGGACACCTTCCACCCGCGACGCGCGTTTGCAAAGATGCGACTACACTGGCGCCGTGATGGTGCTGGTGGTGATACAGACACGGCACAAGCTGAAGGCAATGCACGCGCCACAAGAGACGCTGATGGTGGTGGCGGTGCACGTGGGCCGAGTGCTGTTGTCGAGGTGATTGCGAGCGAGGATGGGCAAGTGGTGCACACGCGGCGGGTTGTCAGCCTGGCCAGTGGGCGCGTGTATGGCAATGAGGCCAATCAGCAGCGATGGGGCGTGATCCACCGACCGCCAGTCCCGCTACACATGTTGATGGTGTCCGTTGCTGCCGTCGTGCTCGCTGCAGCACTTCCCTTGCTTGCTTGGTGCTGCAAGCGCAAGTCACACTGACATCATGTGTGTGTGTGTGTGTGTGTGTGTGTGCGTGTGTGTGTGTGTGTGTGTGTGTCTGTCTGTGTGTGTGTGTGTGTGTCTGTGTGTCTGTGTGTGGGTGTGTGTGTGTGTGTCCTTGTGCGCCCTGTTGTTGATCTTTTGTTCCTTCGCCCTCGCTCTCTTGTTGGTGAAACGGTGCGAGCTCATACGTGTAATTAAAAGGCACGATCAGCGAAACGTTGCGCAAACCAGAGGAAGTGAAGCATGGCACAGAGAGAGCGAGAGAGAGCGAGAGAGAGAGAGAGAGAGAGGGAGCGAGAGAGAAAGGGAGGGAGCGAGAGAGTCACATCAGCGTAAGACGACACACACATATGAACACACATGCACTTTTACACCCAGCCTGACACACACACGCACACACACACGCAGACACATAGACACACAGACACACACACACGCACACACACACACACACACACAGACACACACACAGACACACGGCTAGTTAGAAGCGGCCTGAGAGGCGCTGGGTGACGGACTGCAGGGTTGCGTAGATCTTGGATGGAGGAGAGCCGATGATGAGTTTGGAGATGATGTGACGCGCCTCGCGAATGTTGTCAAAGGCGCCCAAGATGTGCACGCGGCTGTCAGCGACGACGATTCTGGTCTTTGTGGCGTTCTCGATGGTGAACTTGGTCTTGCCGCCCTTGCCGGCAACGCGGCCAATGGCACGGGAGAGATGATCGCCCGCCACACGGCGCACGTCCGTGACGTCGAATGTGTCCAGGTAGAGATCGTCCAATCGCAACAGGGCGACGGCATCTGCAACGTCAAAGCCGAGCATGAAGGCCTTGACAAAGTCATGTGCCTTCTGCAGCGCGTTGTCGCGCTCCGTGAGCTCGCATGTCCTCAGCTCCACGCGGCGCTTGCGCACGTTCATGCGGATCTGCAGCTTCATGTGCTCCACAACGGGCTGGAAGATCTTGTTCCAGTTCTCCTTGAGTGGTGTGTATCTATGTGGCGGCACGTCGATGCTCCGCGTCTCCGCGCCCGTGTACGCGTCCTGTGCGCTGACGGGCGCGAACGCCGCCTTCTTTGCCGTGGGTTGCCCATCCTCGTCAACCTCCATCATGTCGCCGCCATCCTGCTTGCTGTTTGTGTTGCGCTTTGCCTTCCTTGCTTGCTTCTGCTTCTGCTTCTGTGTCTGGTGTGTTTGCTTCTGACCCTTCTTCCTGTTCTTCTTCCCCGCTTGTGCTGCTTTTCCTTTGGTCGTCTGTTGCTGCTCCTTTGTTGGTGTTGCCGTTGCCGTGGTTGTGGCTGGGGTCTCGCTTCCCGCGGACTCGAGCACGCGCTCGTCAATCACCTCGGCCATAATCCTTGTGTGCGTGCTTTTCCTGCTTGCCCTGCGGGTGTTGCCTCGTGGCCTTTGGTCTCTTGGCGTCCTCGTGCTGTGTGCTCGAAATTGCTACTTTTTATCATGTTGATGACGGCGGCGGGTGCGCCAGGTCTTTCCTGTCATGTCGAGTTGAAGAGGGGGTCGGTTTACTGGGTTTGTAGAGCGAGAGAGAGAGAGAGAGAGAGAGAGAGAGAGAGAGAGAGAGAGAGAGAGAGAGAGAGAGAGAGAGAGAGAGAGAGACAAAGAGACAGCCGGTCGTTGTCAATTGCTTAAGAAAGAGAAAAGGAGGGAGAAGGAAAAAAGGGAGCGAGGTGCATTGGCAGGGCAGAGATGCAAACAAGCACACAAAAAGGGCGGTTGTAACCCCCACTGAGTGTGTCGTGTGTCCAGCCAGAGCAGCAACGAAGTTGATTGGGAGACAGAGAGGGGCCGTACGCTTAGTCCTCGTACTCCTCCTCCTCCTCGTCGAACTCGCCCTCCTCCTCAGCGGTGGCGTCCTGGTACTGCTGGTACTCGGAGACGAGGTCGTTCATGTTGGACTCGGCCTCGGTGAACTCCATCTCGTCCATACCCTCGCCAGTGTACCAGTGAAGGAAGGCCTTGCGGCGGAACATGGAGGTGAACTGCTCGCTGACGCGCTTGAAGAGCTCCTGGATGGCGGTGCTGTTGCCAATGAAGGTGGCAGACATCTTGAGGCCGCGGGGAGGAATGTCGCAGACGGCGGTCTTGACGTTGTTGGGGATCCACTCGACAAAGTACGAGCTGTTCTTGTTCTGGACGTTGAGCATCTGCTCGTCAACCTCCTTCATGGACATGCGGCCACGGAAGATGGCGGCGACGGTGAGGTAGCGGCCGTGGCGGGGGTCGCAGGCGGCCATCATGTTCTTGGCGTCGAACATCTGCTGGGTGAGCTCGGGGACGGTCAGGGCGCGGTACTGCTGGGAGCCGCGGCTGGTGAGAGGAGCAAAGCCAGGCATGAAGAAGTGGAGACGGGGGAAGGGAACCATGTTGACGGCGAGCTTGCGCAGATCAGCGTTGAGCTGGCCAGGGAAGCGGAGGCAGGTGGTGACACCGCTCATGCAGGCGGAGACGAGGTGGTTGAGGTCGCCGTAAGTGGGGGTGGTGAGCTTGAGGGTACGGAAGCAGATGTCGTAGAGGGCCTCGTTGTCGATGCAGTACGTCTCGTCGGTGTTCTCAACAAGCTGGTGGACAGAGAGGGTGGCGTTGTAGGGCTCGACGACGGTGTCGGACACCTTGGGGGAAGGCACGACGGAGAATGTGTTCATGATACGGTCGGGGTACTCCTCGCGGATCTTGGAGATGAGCAGCGTGCCCATGCCAGAGCCGGTACCGCCACCGAGGGAGTGTGTGAGCTGGAAGCCCTGAAGGCAGTCGCAGCCCTCGGCCTCCTTGCGGACAACGTCGAGGACGGCGTCGACAAGCTCGGCGCCCTCGGTGTAGTGGCCCTTGGCCCAGTTGTTGCCGGCGCCAGACTGGCCGAAGACAAAGTTGTCGGGGCGGAAGATCTGGCCGTAGGGACCGGAGCGGACGGAGTCCATCGTGCCGGGCTCCAGATCGACGAGGACGGCGCGGGGCACATACTTGCCGCCGGTGGCCTCGTTGTAGTAGACGTTGATGCGCTCGAGCTGGAGGTCCGAGTCGCCCGTGGCAGTGCCCGTTGGGTCAATGCCGTGCTCGTCGGAGATGACCTCCCAGAACTTGGCACCAATCTGGTTACCGCACTGGCCGGCCTGAACGTGAACAATTTCGCGCATGGTGTCGGTGTTGGTTGTTGTTCTTGTATTGGAAGAAAGCGGGCTTAAGCCGTGGAACCAAGAAAGATGCGGGTGTGAAATCGGGTATCTGTGTGGGAAATGACAAGCGCGACGTCACAGACAACACACGCACACGTTTGTCTCTGCTTGTTTTGTGGGGTTTTCGCTTGATTCTCGCTTGTTGTGAAGCAAAGGTGTTTGTGCTGGTTTGTGACTGTTGGCAAGCAGTCCGAAAAAACAAAGGGCAAGCGCCAAACCATAAAAAAGGCTGGTAAACCCACAGTAAAGGCGTGGGTCACGGAGTGGCCGTTGCCATCAAAGGGCGTCGGATAGTTCGTTGGAGTCTTTGCATTATTTTCTGCGAAATTCACTTTAGAGCGAGTCTATTTTTGCGGTTGGTTGTGACGTTTCAATTTGTGATGTTTCAGTTGGGTTCTGCTGTTCTCTGTGTGTCGCTGTCGTGAGTGTGTGGCACAAGATGTGCTTGTGGAAGATTTGATGATGTTTTCATATGTTTTTCGGAACGACTTCAATGACTGCGATCCAACTGAGCCGCTTGTTGTGTGGCGCGCCACGCCGTTGTGCAGCCGTCACTGCTGCTGCCTCGTCTCACCTGAAAGGCAAGTACATCGTTCCTGCGGACCAGCACTCGCTCTGCCAGCCATCGAGTCCTCTGCTTCAATGGTGCGCATGTTTCAATGTGCATGTGTGTGTATTTGTGTGTGTGCGTGTGTGTGTGTGTACTTGTGTGTGTGCATGCATTTGTGTATTTGTGTGTGTGCGTGTGTGCGTGTGTGTGCCTGTGTGTGGGGGGGGGGATTCATGTGTG